TGAGGTGGAGTTTCACTCTTGTTTCCCAGGCTGGAGTGCGGTGGTGTAATCTCGGCTCACCACAACCTCTGCCTCCCAGGTTGAAGCGATTCTCCTGCCTTAGCCTCCCAAGTAGTTGGGATTATAGGGATGCACCACCACGCCTAGCTAATTTTGTATTTTTAGTAGAGACGGGGTTTCTCCATGTTGGTTGGGTTGGTCTCAAACTCCCGACCTCAGGTGATCCGCCCACCTCAGCCTCCCAAAGTGCTGGGATTACAGGTGTGAGCCACCGTGCCCAGCCTCCCCATATTTTTGCATAAAGCATTTGTTAAGATTTATTAGGCTGTTTGTATAACTTTATTTTGGTTTGTCTTTTCAACTGATTTTAGAAATTTACAAAATCTAACATAGTCAAGAAAGAAGGCAGAGACCTAGAGTGATGAGGAAAACTAAAAATAAACCCATTTCACTTGTGTTGGCCAGCTGATAAGAGAAAATCGCCCAACCTATGTATTCTTGGGCAATACATAGGGAAAAATACATAGGGAAACAATTTCCCTATGTATTTTTAGAGAAGGTTGATTCATGGAATATTTGGGTACTTCATCCAGAACCTAGGGCATCTCTTTCATCCATTTCACTATGACTCTTCCATGATCAAGGATAGCCCACATTTTTCAGAAATGGGCACCACGTTTACCCATGCTTGAAATGCAAGTGAATGATCAGGAGGGAACCTTGCCGTGGGACCTTGTCCCAGATGGAACTACCATGGCAAGTAGTACGATGCTTCTAGTCTGACACTTTCACTTGGAGAGGCATCCAAGATATGCCTTTTAATAGATACAGTCTTGGCCAGGAATGGTGGCTCATGCCTGTAATCCTAGCACTTTGGGAGGCCAAGGTAGGCGGATCAACTGAGGTCAGGGGTTCAAGACCAGCCTGGCCAACATGGCGAAACCTCATCTCTACTAAAAATATGAGAATTATCCAGGTGTGGTGGTGCATGCCTGTAATCCCAGCTACTCAGGAGGCTGAGGCAGGAGAATCACTTGAACCCAGGAAGCAGAGATTGTAGTGAGCGGAGATTGTGCCACTGCACTCCAGCCTGGGTGACAGAGTACGACTCCATCTCAAAAATAAATAAATACATACAGCCTTAGGGTAAATGGTCTTTTTTAAGTGGTCATATTTTAGATTTGGGCTTAATCCTCTATAAACTTCAGAATTAGGAGAAAATGAAATGCTCCAGGGAGTAGTATTTCCCACTTAGAACATAGAGTATATTTGCACTTTTTTTTGTATGTCAAATAACTTGCTTTATCTTTATAGAATCTGAGAAGTTTCTGTCTTTCCAACCCTGCCTTCTAATATAAAACAGCAAAAATAGGAGTTTGGGAGTAAAAAAGACTTGGATATGAATCTTATTTGTTAAATAGTACTTGAGTTATGTAGTTCTAGAACTATTGGATGTTTCTGGTTAGAAGGAAATTTCTTTAGTTTATTTAACACTGCTGTGGATGTCAGCACATGCAGTTTGCCAAATCACAGTTAGATTAGAACTTACAAACTGAGTTCTTGGTAACAGGAGCACTGAGTGCTAGAAGGTTTAAAATAGATGTCATATGATACCAATTATAACTCAGTGAAATTTTGCAGTCCTAGGACCCTACACAGAGCATAAGCCAAAATGGAAGATGGTCCTGTTTTCTATGGCTTTAAAAACATTTTTATTACAATGTTTGCTACCTTTTTTTTCTTTAAGCTTTTGATTAAAGTTTTTTTGGCCCTCCTAACCCATTTCTATATCGTCAAAGGAAATAGAAAAGAAGCGGCTAGGATAGCAGAAGAGATCTATGGTGGAATTTCAGGTAAAAGTACATGAATCTGTTCCCAATATTTAAAAAAAAAAATCCCTCCTAGATAATTCATATGAATAGTATTTCTCGAAGGCAGATTATATTTATAGTTTGATTTTAAGTGGGTAGTTTGAAAAATTGTCACTTAAAGTAGCAAATGCTGTTGGCTGCATCAATTTGTGGAGGATTTTCAGCTTTATTTTTTGCAAGTTAGTAGATCTTGTAGCAGTTGTTATTTAAGAAGTAAACAGGTAGTGGCTTACTAAGAGTATTTTGAGAAACTTCATTTCTACTGGCCCAGATAATTACTTGTATATAATTATTATCTTTACAATTTTTAAGCATACTTTAACAATGAAGAGCATTCTAACCAGACTAAATTTTCTCAGGAAATATAATGACTAATAAATTGTAATTAAAGCAGCAAACATGGCATGCTGTATGTATTTTTGTGCTGTGATTTGCAATTAGAATTAACCACTTGTGGCTGTCAGGAAAAGCCCTTCACTAAACCCATTTTATATGGTAGCATGCAAAGCACTCCAAACAAGGTTTATTTTAATATGAAATGCCAAGATTTGGGCAAAATATTTTAAATTCTCATGCTTTGTAGAGATTAGTGTTCATTTCTTTCAAGAAATGAGTCACTTTAATTGTAGTGAGATGTTACAAAAGTAAATGAGTCAGATATCCCTGTCACTGCTGGATTGTCACTTAATAGAGGAGTATTTATTCATAAACAGAGTTCAGAATTTCCCTATGTATTTTTAGTGTTTGCAGGGGTTCCAGGATTACATCATTCTTTATCTAGTATCCATTTCAATTTGCATCCAGGATTCTCTTTCAAAATAGACTTATGCTATGTGATTCCAATACACTAGACAACTCAGAATACACTAGACAACAGCAGTCTTATCTAAAGAAATAAGATCTCCGAGGACGAAGCATCAGAATGCTTCAATTAACTGGGGAAAATGAGAAGAATTGTGAAGTTTCAGAAAGTATCAGAAGGTCCGGACCATGGAAAGAGATTTCTTTTGGGGATTATATTTGTCACACATTTCAGGGAGGTATGTTACGTTGACTAGTTAAAAAAAAGTAATGCTTCTATTTAGTTTCAAGTTAAGCATCATCTGAAAAGTTATTTTCTAATTTAATTTGTTAATTTGGGCAAAGGCTTTCTAAAATTTTCAGTAATCATTTTGTGTTCTTATAGATACATCATTCTTCTGGTTTAAATGAGATGAAGTCCAGCAAAGTCAGTATTAGCAAGAACATGTTAAAAATGTTTTCTCCTGTTGCTCCTGTGCATTATTTCTGTCTTTGTGATTTTTAATTAAGTGCAGTCTTTAAAAAGTATAAAACCTTATTATAGTCAAGACCCATGTAAGCACGGTTTGAATTTAATCTGGAGCTGGAATACAAATCTCTTAAATATAATTCATTCATTCTGTAGTGCAAATATCTTTACTTGTTCAATTTCTTAAAATAACACTCATTTAATTTGCAAGTAGCATAGTGTTCTAAGGTGAAAAACGTTTTTCAATTATTGTTAAAGAGACAGAATGGTGCATGTCAATTTCCCAGTTTTATTTCCTTCGTGTGTGTGTGTGTGTGTGTGTGTGTGTGTGTGGTGTGTGTGTGAGTGTACATATACATGAATCCCCCCCCCCCCCACAATATATAATAGAGAGTATATCCAGATTTGGTAAATAAGTCTTTCTGGGTTTTTTGTTGTTTTGTTTTGGATTTTTGAGATGGATCCTTGCTCTGTCACCCAGTCTGGAGTGAAGCGGCATAATCTCAGCTCAGTGCAACCTCTGCCTCTGGGTTTCAAGTGAGTCTTGTGCCTCAGCTTCCTGAGTAGCTGGGATTACAGGTGCACACCACCGTGCCTGGCTAATTTTTGTATTTTTAGTACAGACTGAGTTTTGCCATGTTGGCCAGGCTGGTCTCAAACTCCTGACCTCAACTGATCTGCCTGCCTTGCCCTCCCAAAGTGCTGGGATTATAGGTGTGAGCCCCCCTGTCCATCTGCTAAGTAAGTCTTTCTATAAGAATGTAGGCAGCAACATGCCAGGACCAGTATTTTTCATGTGATTCTGTGCTTTTTCTTTTGATACCACTGTCGACAGTCAGATACTATATATTTAAAGTTAGGTATATTAAAAATCAAGAGCAAAATTTTGTGAAAGTGTTAAATTCAAACCAGAAATCAAACTCTAACCAGAAATCACCTTTGCTTTTCATTGGTCAGACAAATGTTTGTTGGGAAAATATATGACATTTAATCAGTAAATTGGCTTATTGACTTAGAAAAGTGTCAGCCCAAAGTTAAATTTCTTGATTTTGCCAGCATATGCTATTCCTGTAAACTATTGTCAGCAATGTCAAAAACAAGGAAGGGCAGGAAAAACCTAGCCAGGACACAGGTTAGACTTTCGTAGATCCGGAGCCCTTTCTTTTTGGAGGCTGCATTTAACACTGCATACCTCATTAAATATCATTCTTTGGGCTGTAAAGGCTTTTGGAAAGTTATTTTTTATTTTTTTGTGGTGGGGGGTGTATTTCATAGTCTGGAATACATTCTGTTGTTTGTCTTTGTGGCTTAAACTATTACATTTGGTGATCACTCACCATAGTTGAATTAAGCCATGGTTGACTATTATTAGTTTTGGTTTTTAAACTTCTTTATTTTGTCAATTATATGTCGTTTTTTATTTTAAAGTTTAAAACATTGTCCTTGAGCTTTGGTGTTATGTCTAGAATACCAGATGGATCACTGGATCCCACCTTCAATCCATAGATATTTCTGCAGGCACTGTCTCAGGAGAGAGGTATGATTTTTCAACCTTTGCTAATTTGTACTAAGCTATGTTTAGTACTATGACTTGGTCATCAAGAAATAAAATACAGCGTAGATACAGATTGATCATGTTTTTTACAACCCTTCAGCCAGCCATGTTTCAGAATTCGGTTGCTTTTGAATGTTAGAAAGATCATACAATGTACATACGGTCCATTACACAGCACTTTTGGTTGTGCCTGGAGCTTCCTCCCACAATCAAACATTTTGATTTTCTATAGTGAACATATAAATATTCACACTAGGTGGAAATACAAAGAAAAGTAGTAAATTGCTTAACCTGAGTCCTGGCCATGCTTTGCTGCTAAACAAGTTGGTAAGTTTGTATCAAAGTTGGGGAAAAGCTTGGTTTTCAGAATTGGAGGAACTTTACAAGTGTAGATGAGAGGTTGTAGAACTGTAGTGCCCTCTTTCAAAACAAAAAAAGGCTATTTTAAGCTACGTCCAAAAAATCAGTACCATTCTAAGTGTTATGCTTAAAATCACTTGTTGATGGACTGACCATGATTTGACAGCTATGCCTCTGCCTGACTCAGCTTTCTGAATCCTTTTTCCTGTCTTTTCCATTCCAATAGGATTGCCTTTGTTTCATTCTTCCCCAAACCTCTACCTAGTCTTCTGCTCTTATTTAGTTTTGCTGGTTGTCTCCGCAAACATTGGCCTAACTATCCTCTAAGTAGCATATCAGGTGCCTGCTGGCTTTTCCTAGGTTAGGACAACCAGTCCTTGGCAGAAGCTCAGCCTCCCACCCCTCAAGAGTTCAAAGGAGTCTTCTTTCTAATACGCTGCAACATAGTAAATTGTGTCTAACATAGCTCACTGTGTCTTGTCTCCTCTCTAGGAATGGACATTCTGGAGAAGATTCATTTTAACTCAATTTTATTCTAAAATTTTAGATATCTCAGGAAATATATTCTATTTTCCCAGTTACCTTTGTTTCACATAAAATACTGTTAATTCTGCTAGGCTCTTACCTGTATTTTGGTTCAAAATTAAAATTCCTTATGACTTTTCCTTAACAAATGCTACAGAAGTTGTTGTTTCATATGATTTTCTTTATGTATTTATTTATTTTTGAGACAGAGTTTCCCTCTTATTGCCCAGGCTAGAGTGCAATGGTGTGATCTCGGCTCACTGCAACCTCTACCTCCCAGGTTAAAGTGATTCTGCTGCCTCAGCCTCCCGAGTAGCTAGGACTACAGGCACCTGCCACCACGCCCAGCTAATTTTTGTATTTTTAGTAGAGATGGGGTGTCACCATGTTGGCCAGGCTGGTCTCAAACTCCTGACCTCAGGTGATCTGCCTGCCTTGGCCTCCCAAAGTGCTAGGATTACAGGTGTGAGCCACTGCACCCGGCCTCATATGATTTTAGAACTTGAATAAAGAGAATAAAGATTGTTCCATATGCACTGGGGATTATAACCAGTTAGGTCATCTTTTTAAATTTAAAAAAAAAAATCAGTAATCTGAGGCTGGGCGCGGTAGCTCATGCCTATAATCTCAGCACTTTGGGAGGCCAAGGTAGATGGATCACTAGGTCAGGAGTTCAAGACTATCCTGGCCAAGGTGGTGAAACCCTGTCTCTACTGAAACTACAAAAATTAGCTGGGTGCAGTGGCAGGCGCCTATAATCCCAGCTACTCGGGAGGCAGAAGAAGGAGAATCACTTGAACCTGGGAGGCGGAGGTTGCAGGGAGCAGAGATCAAAAAAAAGAAAAAAAAAAAAGAAGAAGAAAGAAAACTCCATAAAAAAAAAAAAAAAAAAAAAAAAAAAAAAAAAAAAAAAAAAAAAAAAAAAAAAAAAAAAAAAAAAAAAAAAAAAAAAGAAAGAAAGATAAAAACAGTAATCCAAAATACTTTTTGAAATTAGTATAAAAATTACAAAAAGAAAGTTTAATTGGTTTTTATCTCAAATTGTTGGACTTTTGACAATTGTTTTCCATCTGAACCAATTTTGTTATTGAGATACATGGTTTTAGAAGTTGTCGTGAAGTTGTTATTCAAACAGTCTGAGATACAAATCGCATTCTGAGAAAAATTCAAAGGGGGAAATGAAAAAGTACTTGAACATTTTCTGTACACCTCATCAGGGATAAGCAAACATATTTGTAGAGTAAACTATCTTCATGATGTGTTTGCAACCCT